TGCTTGATTTACATTGTTTCAACAATTGAGACAACAATATTTGCAACTTACTTTGGTTAAATCGTTTGTCATGAACTAATTAGTTTATTCTAGGGGTACATGAATTTTACTTAGTTAATTGATTATTTTCACATATATGTTACTTTCTCTTTTTTAATTGAATACTTTAATTCATTTAATTAAGATTAGTCAATTTCATCTTTGAGTTAAATATTTATTGAGGTACCAACCAGAAAAGATTAATAAGTGGTTTAATTAATAGAAATTAGATTGTGAATTTAACCATCTAGACAATCTAATAATAAAACCATTAATTTGATTCTAAAGTTAGTAGCTTAGTTAGTGAATTCAAGATATAAGCTAATTAATGTGAGAATATTTTATAATTGAGTTAATAATATATTGGAATATAGTGTTTAGAATTGTTTTTATTTTCAATTTACAATCATTCTTTGATCTTTAAGAATGCACAGTTACTTTCTTAAAAAACAACCTTAATTAACTCTCTCAAATTGCAATAGCCTCATATACTTACGAGCGTCATCCCAGAAATATAAGTTGATAGTGTTAATAGCGTCAATCAATAACCAAGCATGAATTAATTCATGATATTTACTTAAGTTAGATCAAAGATAACCAAGCATCAATAAATTCATACTATTACTTATTTATGTATTGCATATGTTGCATAATGTAAGGATGATTAGTCATAAAAACAAGGAAGGAAAAAATGAAAATAAAGAGTCTTTAGGATGTTGTGCTACTAAATAGACATTTTGTCCCCTTTAAGGGATGTTTTGTTACTTGCTTGATGTTTATGGTAGGCATGGCCAACGGTTCAGTTCGAACCAAAACTAAATCGTACTGTAAATAAACTGAAACCGTTAGTTCAAAGTTTTGAACCTAAGCCAGCAGTTCAAGGCTGATTAAAGTTCATGTAAATATTAAATTATGAACTTGAACCGGCCTGAATATGACAGTTCCGGTTCAGTTCGAATCGAAAATTTTCTACATACATCAAAAAGTCTAAATAATCTTTTATATGTATGCTTTACTTAAAAAGTTGAAATATAAAAAAGTAAAATGGTAAAAAAGATGAAATATTTAATATAAAATTATATTGTTTGATAAAAATGAGATTTTAACGTTTTTTCCTTTCAAATTTTTTACTTAGTTCAAAATTACATTGTTTGAAGCATTTTTCAAATTTTTCTAATAATTTATTTATTTAATAATATTTAGACAAAATAAAATTAACGTCATTCATAAAAACGTCTACTCCACATCTTCTTACATAATATATGTCTTTACTTAAAAAAGTTGAAAAATATAAAAAACGTAAAAACTGGCCGCCGGCGCGAGTTTTAAAACCAGAAAAAAACACAACCAACAAAAATGAGAAATAAATTATATTATAATTTTAATTGTTTGAATAAAAAAATGGAGATTCTACCAGCAGAGTTTATTTACGCACTTCTATCACAAATTTTTTTACTTAGTTTAAAATTCACATTGATTTGAGGATACGCTATCTACTTTTCAATTCTCTTCACTCCATCAACTCTCTCACTTCTCATCTCTAATAATAATTAAGAAACAAAAAAATTAAAAATAAATTAATTTATTTGATTATTTTATAAAATTAACTGAATGTTATTTATATCATCTACTACATCGAGCTCCATCCAACAAAAGGGGAGCAATTTTTCTAGAATTGAAAATGAAAATATCAATAAATCATTCTCTTATAAATTCAGATTAATTATTTCAAATAGATTTAGACAAAATAAAATAATAATTTATTTGATTATTTTATAAAATTAATGAATTTTATTTCTTATATGAGTATGAGCATTCTAAAATTAAAATAAAATTCATCAATATTTTTATAAATTCACATTAATTTTTCAAAGAAAGACGCCTTTGAACTAAATTTTTATTTTTTTGAAAAAAAATAATATACATATTGCCGGAAATCATGAACAGAACTATCAGTTTATCGGAACCACACTAAGACCGGCTGGAATAGAAACCAGATTGGGATTGGGGGTTCAGGGAACTGGTTATGCCTAGTTTATAGTATAAATTTAAATTGGTGGTTAAATCCCAACTTAAGCTCATTTACGCAATAGATAAAAATGAATTCTTCCACCCATTAATGATTAATCATTAGAAAATTTTTGCTTGGTGTACAAACTCATTCATAAACAAACCAATAAGTCACTTAAAAAAATATATAGCTTTTTATTGTTATTTTGTCTACTTTTTCTTAATAAAAGAACATTGATACTTTCATTTATACCAGATAGATATTACATTGATTTAGTGTATCAATAAACTTATTCATCAAAAGTAGGTGAGTATTTTTATTGAATAACTAATATTTACTTCTTTTCAAAAAAAAAAAAAAAATTTAATATCTACTCGGATAGATAGTCATTTAAATAACTAAAAATTTAAATTCGTGTTTAAAGCAAAAACCAGAAAAAATAACTCGGTATCGATATTTAAAGGAAAAAGGTTTATTTTATCCCTCAACTTAGATAAGAAGTTTAAAATGTTCATTATTGAACTTTTTAGCCAAAAGAACCCCTTAACTTGGTATTCATTTATCTTTGTCTTTCTTTGCTTTTCTTGATTTATGCCTAACACACCTTAAAAATCCAGATTTCTCTTTACTTTTTATGATCCCTCTTTCCTTTTCTGAATTTATACCTTTTTTCCAGAAATTGCTCCGCCTCTAACTTACCGGTTTGAACTCTATGGTCACTGTCTAGAATGTCGTCTCCTTCGACTCTAACAAAATCCATCCATTACCTTGAAAATCTATATTACAAGAGAGTCAACTTTGGCATCTTCAGTTAGGTATCTAATGCCAATTGAAGTCATATGGAATCTGTCCAAATCCAAGATTTTCCTGCATTCTGGTGTCCTAATTTGCAACCAGAGGTTTTCGATTTTTTTTTTTTAATTTTCTTATTTTTATTTATTAAATTTATCATCTATATGATATGCAGTTGATTTTGCTGAATTTTTTGATTTCTTTTTTAATTAGTATTTATATTTTATTTTAAATTAGTTGAACAAATATAATCAAACCCTTTTTTCTTTTCTCTCAATTTTAGGTTATGTGTATTTTTTTTTTATTCAATATTATATACGATGAATTTTTACACTTTACACTATGGGCAGCAATTACGACAATTTAAAAGTTCATGAAGTGCAATACAATCCATTATAAAGCTCATCGGGGACATGACAACTCACTACAAAAGGAATGAATTAAATGTTACACTATCAACAATCAAACTGGGAACCTGTTTGATCCTAGGACATCACCCTTACCACCTAAGTTTTATGTAATTCCTAATAGATTTTGGGTTTTATGTAATTACCAATAGATTCTGGGTTTTATGTAATTACCAATGGAAAAGGTCTTAATTTTTTGCTAATGGGGAATTTTTACTCTTTTTTTTTATTATTATTTAGCATTTTTTTTTTTTCTCTAGTTGGGTTTGACATAGTTGTGCAGATTTGATTGGGAGATGGATTTAGTGAGGGAAGTGGAGGTGTTCGGATGTTGACTTAGTGTTAACATTAATTTTTTAAAAATAATTTATTTCTTTTATCTTTTGTTAGCAGCGTGTGCTCCACGCGCCATTTTCAAGCTATTAAATGGGCTATTTGGACTCTCTTTTTATAAATTTGGGGATTTTTGCAAAAAAGAAAAAATTGGCATTTTGAACTTTTTTGACCAAGTTAAATGATTTTTTTTATATATATTTCTAAATACTAAGTCATTTTAAATCACTGTCTATCAGAATATGAATCAAATCACTATCCATGTAATGATGAAATTGAAGAGATAAGATATGTCCATTTATAATAATGAAAAAACATTATATGATTAATTCATCCTCTTCTTTATTTATTATTTAAACCATTTATTATTATTATTATTATAATAAGATATGGTCAACCTATTTTTCTTATTTATTATTGGTTTTATCTTCCTAATTAAAGTTAATAAGAGTAAAAGATTTTCAATTAAACTTAATAACTTTGATTATCATTACCACTGTTAGTTGTATCTAGAAGTGTACTAAAATTTCACTTTTTGTGAAATTTTTGAACAAAAAGATCTTGTAATTCATGAAATTTAAAATTAAAAGATGTTCAAATTATTTTTTAAAGATAGAAGAATTCATGCCTTAACTTATAATAATAATAATTTCATATTTTAAAAAATTTATTGTTAAATATGAAAAAATATAAAAAATTGGTAAATTATGAAAATCGCCAGTAACCCGTGATAGCTAATGGTGAATAGTGATTGATGAATAGTAATTGATAGTATTAATACGATAACTAATAAATTAATAATATGCATTTAGAAAATTACAATAAATTTTTTACAATAAATTTGTTAAATTTTGAAAAATGTTTTTCCTCCGTTGATGGCATTAAGTCATTTTTTTTACCAGACAAATATTTTCTGTTAACTTATTTTCCAAAACGAACCGAAAAAATAGAGAATTGTAAAAAAATATTTTTCTGCAAAATATATTATGGAACAAACGGAGTCTTAAATTAACTCATTTATACTTTTTCCCAAGAGAACGAGAATGAATTGTCAGCAAATCATTTGACTTTTCCTTCCATTTATAGCAATAACAAAGTTCCATGCATTTATCATTAGCAGCTCATGAAAGGCTTCTGTGAGCTTTAGCTACAAAGTTTACTCAGCCCTCGGCTGAAGTAAACTTGTATGTAGCTTCTTTAGCTACAGAAATAAAGGCTTCAGAACATATTTTTTTCACTCTATAACATGAATTATTCTTACATCACACGTCAACATAGAATTCTTCCAAATCTAGCATGGAGGGCTGTTCGGTATTAAGGTCATAACAGAAACTTGTGATTACAAATAAATCTCGCGTTCTACAAGTTTGCACTCTGCAACTTAAATTTCTGAAAAGCAATAATGAAAAGACAGTGCGAACAGCGAAAACTAAAGCATTGCAAGGGATTCAATGATAACATCATGATAAAAAATCGTATTTACATTTTAAGTATCTCCCGCAAAAATATGGATATTTCAATAAGAATGTAATAAAGAACGCAGACTCACTTTATTTTTCACTAAAAGAATAGTAATTACAAAACTATATACAGGTATATATAATTAAAGTGCAACTCACATCTCAGATAGAAGATTGCTGATTTTACGAAGCTCTTTAAGAGCGGTCATAGCTGTAACTTGCCCTTTGCCAACTAGAACATTTTTGGAGAAATTTTCCAGTGATCCCACCTGACCTCTATCTTGCTGGAAAACAGATTCTACTGCCTGTAAGCCAAATGGTTATTAAAGAGTCAGCATGGCTAATACCATAGGAAAAAAAAATATGCACAATGAAAAATCCGAAGCGCCCATCATTAGATGTTAAAATGCTGGAGAAACATCGAGAACTCCAAGAATTCTATTGATATAAGTTGAGCATGGTCAATGAAAATAAACAATATGTAGACCAGCATAGTAACTCCTATTAGCTGCCCAACAACTTTCATTGGGTTATCATAAATGAAGGTTACCAGCCAGAAATCAAACAGTTCAATTATAGTAAGGGTTTTAAATATTTAAAGTCTCATGCAATATTTTCTCGACCAAGAATTATATCTCCCTTGATTTTCATATACTAATGAATTTCACCAGTAAGTATGCCCTTGAGAGGCACTTATACTTGAAACATCAAGGAAGACAATTACAAAGCAACAAAAGTTACCTGAATATGTTCTAGCATAGAGTGGCCAAGATTCCGCAAAGTACCCATTACATTCTGATCCACAGCATCTCCTTTTCCACTTGTATAAGAATTGCATGATTCATCAAAAGAAGAGCTTACAGTACAGCACTGACTGCCAGTATCATTGGCAGATGCAGCCTCAAGTGCCCCACTTCCCTTTTCAGATGTCTCCTCACCAACATTACTCCGTCCAAACTTCCAAAACCATTGGAATTTACCTGAAAGAAGCTTCCGCTCCTTTGGAGCTGTCACTGGTTTTCCAGTCACATCATTGTTGCCCCCAGAATTTAAAGGAGCATCATTTGGGAGATGGGAAACAGGAGGAACAATTGCACCTTCCTCAGGATGTTCATCAGTTTCATCAACAGACAAATTAGAGGCAACACTACTTTTCTCTGAGTCGTTTTCATGATTGTTAGCACCACTAAGAGGACTAGATGGGTCTGAAAATACAGAGGAATTTTCATCACTGCCAGCATTTCCACTCGGACATCTCTCCTCAGCTGCGCAACTAAAGTCCTTAGAAACACCATTTTGATCCTCAGCATCTGCACGGATGATGTCCTTCTGGTCTAAAACGTCATTGCAGCCTACTTTCTCAGTATCTTCATCACAGCCAAGTTCACGCGATAAATCTTCAAGCAAACGGCGCCTAACAGATGGCTTATGGTCCTGTCCACACCAAAGTTTCACCGGAGATGGATCAGATTCTACTCTAGATAGAGTTGATCTTACTTTTTCAGACCACCCTTTTCTCGGGGTTGGGTTTTGTTTTACTGAACTAGAATGCCTGAGTTCTTCCGCTTTGTGCAAAACTCTCCACTTCTCTTCCCAATAGCTGTCAGGCACCATGCTTAGAGGGGTTTTTGGAGAAGTAGAACCAGATGAAATAGTATGACCTCCCTTTGCCATTGATTTACTATAGTTATAAATCCCACAAATAGGAGAAATGGATGAGATACTATCACCTAATGCAAGAGCCTGTAAAGACTTTGCCTTGTCTAGAAGTTTCCTCAGATCCATATTCTCTGGAAAATTCAAGAGTCTCTGGAGACAGGTAGTAGCATTCTCAGTGGCGAGCAGCGAAGACCTCAAATGAAGTATCATAGAAACTGCAATAGCTGATATCAATCCGCCCCTAGGTGAACTGAAAATACCAAAGCTAGAACCTGTATCATCGTCAGCACCTTTGTCTATTTTACTGTTATCTGCTGCAAATATTTCATCCCATATTAATAAGAGGTTTTCAAGCGAAAACTCTCGTCCAAATAAAACCCGCAACCAACGAAGTGCAAAATATTGTGGTTCAACACCAAGTTCAACAAGATGGCTGTGCAAAGATGAATCAACAACAGACAACAAATGGTATAATGCAGCAGAAGCTTCAATAACAGGAGGTAACCCAGAATGAGAACCACCTGCAGGGGATGGAGAGAAGAAGTCTGCCATGGAAACTGCACCATGAGACCCATTCATCAAAGCCTCAAACATACAGTAAGCATCATGTTCCATAAATTTCTCGGACAAGAGAATTCCCAGTTCACCTTCAGCGCCATATGCATCACTTAGCAACACAATGGTTTGTATATCAGGATCAAGCTCATCAAGACTCCTAATTTTGGAGGCATTACCATGAGAACCCATATCATCATCCATAGCATCTAAATACTTTTTGAAATCAAAATTGTACATGAGATCATTCTCATGAAATGATACATCATCAAATTTGTCAATAAAATGGTCTTCATATTGTTTTCGCACTTCAGAGAGACGCTCCACATCAACATGAAGAACATACAATAAAGGAGCCAAAAGTTCATGCATTCCTAACAAGAAAACCAGAAAGAGAATGATATTAAATTTTCCCTCAAACAACGATACATGATTTTCTTGTTTTTTCTTTTCTGCAATTAGAAATCTTGCTATAGCCAGCAGGGGGTTATAGGAAAATGTAAAAACTGAAGTTGATGGATCCACAGTCATCAACAATTCGATCATTCCATGAAGCAAGTAAATAAATGTAATAACAATTCTGAAAACAAAAAATGCAACTTTAGCAAAACCCAAGGACCAGAAAAAAAAAAAAAAAAAAAAAAAAAATAACTGAAGTTGATGAATCCACAGTCATACAACAATTCGATCTATCCATTGAAGCAAGTAATAAATGTAATAACAATTCTGGAAATACAAAAAATGCAACTTTAAGGGCAAACCCAAAGGACAGAAGTAAGAAAAAAAAAAAAAAAAAAAAAAAAAAAAAAAAAAAAAAAAAAAAAAAGGAGTTGGTAAGTAAAAAATGCATAATGTTCAGGGCCAATCTTCCTAGCATGAAATTTTCCCCAAATGGGATTCCCATAGGCAAATCTATATACATTCTAGATAACCTAAAGGTAAATTAACAGAAAAGAAGTATGGAAGGCCTTCAAATCAATAATGCAATTTTACCTTGTCTATAACCATACTCTGGATGTCTAAGACACCACATTAACAAAATTCGTCTCAACATTCCCTGACAGCCAGGAGTCTGGAAATAGTTTCCATGTTCGGGATATAAACGTGATAAATCCTGGTCAACTGTTTTTTCCAGTTCAGCATTCCGAAAGAAGCGTCCCCAGGTGCTATCTGCATTTGAGATTAGCAACACAGTCAGCACAAAGCATTAACTGAACCATTCACTTCTGAGAGAATTATAAGGGACCAGATTAGAACTTCCCAAAATGAAAATTGCAATTAAAATCGGCATAATTATTTCTTACATGAATAACAGTTAACTTCCACAAATGAACACATTAAGGAAATGCTAAACCATACTTGATCAGCAAAAATCTAGTACACTCCAAACTGAGAGGAGAAGCATACGCCTTTATTGCAGGAATAGTTCAGTTTCCGCACTCAGATGTACTGGAAAAATATAAACCATATGATTTTGCACAAATAAAAAGATATTTACCTGGGTTTTGTGATAATGGATTGTCTATAGCAAGATCGGGAGAATTACTTCCATCTTTTGGCATATGTGGATCAACCAGGAGACGCCTTCTCAAACAAGCATATCTGACAAAACAGGAGATAAGCAACACTGAATAACAAGACATTTGGTCTAATTCCATACAAAAAAGTTGCCTTTAATAGGAAGTAATTAGTCTATAATAACCCAATTCCAATCAAAAAGAGCATTATCAAACCATCAAATGTCACACATCAACAGTTAAAGCTAAATCTTCAAAATAATCACACAATTAAAATTTTCGAACTTAATTGCTAATTGATTTTCAAAACCAAAGTTAGTTGGGAATTCAAAACAGAAAAACAGACTCAAACCAATCTTAATGAGTTGAATGTTGATGATATTTTTATGTAAGCATGATGATGAGGCACCATGAAAGAGTCTTACTTGATAGAGTTTCAAAGGCAACATCTTAAAGATCCCCCGATAAGATTACAATTGATACTATATTTGATTACATAAACTGCTCTAATGACTAAAAAAAATGCTCAAACAGCCCCCACCCCACAGAGAGAGAGAGAGAGAGAGAGAGAGAGAACCAAAATTCCTATCTGAATCCAGTAAACCCTTTAAAATCATCATAAAAAAATACAAGTAAGACAATTATATAAAAAATAATTTTTAAAAAAAAAGAAAAATGAAAAAAAGAACCTG